CAACCCCGTTCCCAGGTATACCTTTCGTTCGGGCCAGTGCTCGATTAGTGTGACTTGCTCCAGCTCCTCAATTGTTGATTTGGTGGCGTCAGAGTCATCGGGAATCATGAAGGATCGAGGGATCCTCTGATCATCATCTTCTTCAATATTCTAGTTATCTGGTTGGGTCGAAGTCGATGTCTGTGATTGCTATTTGGTATCTCGTTCCCCTTCTGAGCCCGATCCCTTTATTGGCGAAGGCGAGGATATTGGTTTTGCTTCCTCGATGGCGAACATTTCTTTTGCTGCTGGTTGTTCTCCGTACACTGTTTTGACTCCTCTCGATGTTGGGAATTTGAGGACCTGGTGCAGGGTCGAAGGTACAACTCTCATGTTGTGGATCCATGGCCTTCCGAAAAGGGCGTTGTATCTCATGTTGCCTTCGATCACGTGAAACTTCGTTTCCTGGATGGTTCCGGCCACGTTTATTGGTAGAATTATCTCTCCCTTGGTGGTTTCACATGCCATATTGAATCCGTTTAGAACCAGGTTTGCGAGTAAGATCTGGTCCTGCAGGCCGAGCTGTTCTACGACCTTCAATCTGATGATATTGGCCGAGCTACCTGGATCAATCAACACACGCTTAACTTTAGTTTTATTCATGAGTACGGATATTACCAATGCATCGTTATGAGGTTGTATGACTCCTTCTGCATCTTCATCATTGAAGGACAAAGTTCTTATGGGTGTGTAATCTTGAGTTCGAGATCACTTTTCTCTCACAATCGATGTTTTAATGCGTTTAAGCACTGGTCCCTGAGGGGTATCGGCGCCGCCGATGATCATGTGAATGACGTGCTGTGGTTCTTCTTGTTCGTTTTGCTTGCCGAAATCCCTGTTTTTAAAATGGTTCTTTGCCCTATCGCTCAAAAATTCCCGAAGGTGCCCTTTGTTCAATAACCGGGCTACTTCCTCTCTTAGTTGCCTGCAATCTTCCGTTCTAAGGACATGGGTGCCATGATATTCGCACATTTGATTGGGATTCCTCTGGGCAGGATCGGTCTGCATGGGTCGAGGCCATTTAGTGTCTTTGATATGCCGAATAGCCGATACGATGGCGGATGCATCAACGCTGAAATTATATTCTGATAACTGAGGTGCTTCCTTAGATCCGGCAGGCCTATCGAAACTACTTCTGTTTATCAGCCCTCGGGACCCTTGACCTCGATCACTTCTCTTATTATTTTGCCTGAGGTTATGTATCGATTCACTGACTCTGTGGCTCCCGTTGTACGGTTCGTATCGATCCCCAATCGGACCTCGTTCCCAATTAGTATTCCTTCGAACAGCGAGTTCAGACCCCAATTAATCATCTTCGACCCTAATTTTCGATTGGTACCGATTGTGCACGTCGGCCCATGTGATGGCTGGGTATTCGATCAGGTTATGCTTTAATCGCCGTGAAGCCGTCGAACTTCACTCGTTCAAACCTTGAGTGAAAGCCTGAACATCCCAATCGTCTGTGACTGGTGGCAAGTCCATTCGTTCCATTTGAAAATGAGATACGAACTCCCTCAGCATCTCGTTATCCTTTTGTCTTACCTTGAAGAGGTCCGATTTCCTTGTTGCGACTTTTATGGCGCAGGCATGTGCTTTCACAAAAGAATCTGCTAACATGGCGAATGAGTCGATGGAATTTGGCGGTAAGTTGTGATACTAAATCATTGCCCCCTTCGAGAGGGTCTCTCCGAATATTTTTAGCAACACAGATTCGATTTCATCGTCTTCTAAATCATTGCCCTTGATGGCACATGTGTAAGAAGTGACGTGCTCATTGGGATCGGTCGTTCTGTTATATTTGGAAATTTCGGGCATACAGAATTTTTGGGGGATTGGTTTCGGGGCTGCGCTTGAGGAAAAAGGTTTTTGCACGAATTTTTCCGAATCCAACCCTTTTACATTGGTGGAGCTCCCAGGATCTGATCGACCCTAGAGTTATAAGTTTCTACTTTTTTATCGTTGGCTTCGATTCGCTTTGTGAGTTCCTCGAGCAATTTAGCAATTTCGGGAGTAGTCCCCGATTCTTGCTCATTTGACTTTACTATGGCTGGTTCCGTTTTGTGAGTGATTTCTCGGGGTGGATTGGGCTCCGGCCTGCTTTGTAGCTGGGTTTGGCTTTGCAACTGAGCTATTGCTGCCTGTTGGGCTTGCAACATTTCGAAAATCATATGCAAGCTAACGCCGTTTTCCTCGACGTTATGGGTATCTCGAGCTGCAGACCGAGTGCCACCATGGATGTTATTCTTCGGTTCAGCATGTAGGTTTGCCTCAATGGCTATATGCGAATTGATATCGATTGGCGCTCTGGTTCGAGGTCCAACGGTGTTCACAAGTGGTCTTTCAGTACTGGGTGTCAAGTTGTTGTTTTCGTCTTGAAGACCGGCCCCGTTATCGATCGGTGAAGCCATTTGATTGATGGTTAGTCGTAGCTAATCCGAAATTCAGGATATTTTCGGAAACAAGCGCAAAACACAATGGCGTATTTTTTCAGATTCGTATCAAATAACCACTGTTATCCTTAGCCCCACGGTGGGCGCCAAACTGTTTACTCGAAAAACGGGTAGAGTTGAATTTATTCGTAGTTCTAAGGATATGTGATATAGCTCAATAAAAATTGTAAGGATAAAAGGAAGTATCAAATATGGACCGCAGAGAAGACAAAATAAACAAAGTTGTAACAAAAGCGATTTTTGGGACTAAGCAAGATGAATTAGTTTTTTAGGCTTAAAAGAATAACTCTCGAATATAAGAGAATATAGTGCTTGAATTACAATGTGAACTCCAAAAAAACTGCCCTCACAGAAAACTCCTCTTTATGGTAGAGGGACCTTACTTTAAATATAATTAAAAAAAATACTCAGTGAGAGATCCATGATAAATCAGTTTTTCCACAATTCCTGCCAAGATTCTCTCATCTAGTGGGATTGCAACGACTTTTATCTTTGAGTCCGATCTGACTCGGGCTCTTGATCTCGGCTTGAGCCCGATTCTAACTCGAGCTCTCGACCTTTGGCTTAAACTCGATTCTGACTCGGACCCTTGAATTGATTCGGAGTCAATGTTGGTTGGTCTCTGGATCATAAGCTTGATAGCTTTACTCTGCATCATAGATCGATTTGGATTCGAGCTCGATAACAATATCGAACTCGACATTGATCGGCCCCTCGGGTTCGAGGCTTGTTTGTTTCATCTTCGGAACCCATCTCGAAGTCTCACTTCGATCGATTATCATTCGAGCTCGATCAGACGTGCGAAGGCCGAAATCTATTTCGACCGTATACAACGTGACATACTCGTACAAGCACGTATGTAGAAACAAGTGAACTTAAAATTATCAGGTAATGATGTGGAGACAGGAGAGCAGTTCTGATATTAGGAAAAGAAAACTAAGAACTCGTGGACGGGAAGTGGAATAGTCCCAGCTGTTCGTCTGATGTGAGAAAATGAACTGAATATATAATTGAACTAGACTTTCATACTTTCTTGTTATTTTTATAATTATTATTATGGTGCGACAGATATTAGAAGATTAGAAGGAAAAAAGAGCATTGTTATTTCCACGTGGGATCATATGGGTCACTTTCGATTTTTCTAGTTCTTTACCTGATTTAATTACAAGTTGTTTTTCCCCAACAGTTTGTATATATCAGGTTGAAATTGAAATTGATCCAAACCTTTTTTGCACCAAGGCCTGTCCCATTTGTAAGATTACGCTCAGAAAATACATACACTCAACCGAAATTGATACAAATTCCAGCAATTTAATCATAAGAGTCATAAATTAAAATTAAATGCATATCATTTAACCATATTTACGATATAAAATTATATGCAACATGCATAACTTGCATTCATTTATCTGGTGACCATTTCATTAACCAAACTCGAATGTTTGCATTGAACTGCACTATTTCTATTACAGGGAAATCATTCAACTTTGATGTTGTTGCAGATAGGATAAGATAGAACAGAAAAGGGCTTACACTAACAATTCAATGGGTGGCACATTACTCATAAGTAGCAAAAACTAGAACCAGAAAGCTCAGAACCTCAAAGATAATGTGAAGGTTTGACCAAGGCTCAATCAAAGTAGCTGAGACTATCTATTTCTTCGTTTGAGTGATGAACTTGGTCAGGACAAAACAGTCTGGTGGGGTTATGTTTGTATAATAATTTTGGATTTTATCAGTAACCTCAAATCCAAATTTCTTATAGAAATTGAGGGCATCTTCGTTAATTGTGTGCACATGCAAATAAATCTCGCTAACGTTCTGCTTGGCAGAAAGATTGAGGATATGGTTCAACAACATTTTGCCTGCACCAGAATAAAAAGATGAACTAAATGAGATGTTGCTCCAAATTATTGAGATGTCAGGACAAACTGCAATCGATTGACTCGTTGCTGCTATTCATTTTTACTTTTCTAAGAAACATTCAAAAAACTTGTCAGATATTTCTTTATTGTGTTTTGAAATGGTGTAAACGACTTACAACTAACTTCAAAGATTAAAAGAAAATGTCAACTTGAAGGTTGATGCCATCATATTAAAAATTTGAGCAGTCAAACTGGAAAAGAACCACGGAAAGTTATATGGTAACATAACTTCGACCAAGGTAAGCAGGATAAGTTGAGCACTCACCAATACCTAGCCCACGATATGGAGCCAAAACACCCAGAGTCATTATGTAAACACGAACAGCCCCAGCTTCCTTCTTCTCAAGGCGACATGCAATTGAACCTACACAAATATCACTGTAATATGCTGCAGGTACAAAAAATTGAAACAAGGTAAGATTTGCAGAATATTCAAGATTCTAAAATGGAAAGCGTAAACCAGATAGAGATGCATTTCTTGAATTTATCTCGAAGAGTGTAAGGAAAATGGACCTTGGGCCTAACCTCAAGCCCAAAAGCTAGCTCATGAGTTAAGGATTGTCAAGACCATATAAGAAGACAATAGCCCATTCGTTCAACCAACATGGGACACTGAAACCCCCCTGCACACCCATAGCGGAACATCCGGCATGTGGACAATATAAAATGGTATTGAACATTGGGTAAATTAAGGATAGGAACGAGTCAGGCTCGTAAAGAAAATGGACTTTCAACCCAAACTCATACCAAAAGCTAGCTTATGAGGTAAGAATTGTCCAAGACCATATAAGGAGAAAACATCCCATTCCCTCAACCAATGTGAGATGCTTAACACAGGGCATCAATTTGAAAATACAAAAGATGACAAAGTTTTGTGGAATATCTAAAGATTGAAAAGTTGAAAGCTTAAACCAGAAGAACTATATATTGGATGTATTCATTTCTTTGAAAATTATAGGAAACAACTTTTCTTTAACTTGCATAGGAACATTAAATTGCACTTTGCTTTACTTCACTACATATTTATGCTCACCCATAAGGAAAAACTTAAGTTGCTCGGACACGGATACGGGTGTCCGACACGGGTGCGGATCTAAAGGTCGGATCCTTCGAGATGTAAATTCTAAGATTCGGGAATACGGATCCTAGTACGGATACGGGGGCGGGGATCCGGCTAAAAATAATTCAAAAAATAAAAATATCTCTAAATTATGAGAGATTTTGTGGAATACTTACGTATAGCATGTAAAGTGTGGATTTCTTTTTTATTCTCAAGTTGTAGATAAGTAAAGAATTAATTTCCTAGATAAGATATGCTATTTTCTTCAAATTTACCCTAGTTTTGGTTCTGATTTCGGGAATCAAATTGTATCTCATCTCGAATTTTACCGTCCATCGTGGTCAAAGTAGCCAAATTGTTTGACCAGATCCAGTATGGATCTCATACCCACACTCATACTAGTGTCGTGTCGACGCAGGTGCGGCACCTAAACTGTCGTGTCGGAGCAACTTAGGAAAAAACACATACTCAGTAATTTCATGCACCTTTACCTAAACTATTGAAGGTATAAATGTCTCTAGCAGGACTTTTAGGGAATGGTCATTATACATAATCATTATTGTTTTATCATAATTATGACAAATTGAGTTGTTATTCTTTCCAATAGAAACCTAATGTTGCATCAAGCAATGATGATTACTAATTACATCCATAAGCTATGATGCTCCGACCCTTTAAAATCCCGGCTTCCAAAAGGCTTCTAAAAAAGGTTTATAAATGTCATGAGCTACTCCACCAATTGCCTTAATCTTTTGGATTAGTTTCCCAGATTCTATTTACACTTTAGTGTAAGAGCTTCCAAAAGGGTAATTCTTTCACAAGAGTAGTTGTCCCACATGAATAGTGTAAGGGCTTTCAAAGGGTTTATAAATGTCATGAGCTGCTCTACCAGTTGCCTTAAGATTTTAGGTTAGATGCTCGGATCTTTTCACAAGTTTGATTCGAAAATGATATTTATAGTAGAAAAAAGGAACTTTTTTACTAAATATAAAACCGAAATAGTCCATGGAATGTTAAATGGCTTGATTTTCTAACAATGGAAACAAAGTCATTTGAAATGTTATATGAGAATCTAAACAGTTTAACTAATAGGAGAACTTATACAAAAACTAATGGTAGGAGGAGATTTGAAGACAAAGTTACCGATGTGATACTCAGTAGTGATATGCGCAATGGGAAAACAATATGGCAAGTAGAAATTCTAGAGTGACACTACAATCACAGGTGTGGAGATACAACCCTTATAGATGGTGTGGAGATACAACCCTTAGAGATGTATATCCCTGGATATTTTCTGTCAAAGTCATCTTACTTCTAAGGTTCTTTTATTCTTTTAAGAGAGAGGGGCATTTCTACTTCTGTCTAAGTAGGAGACATAGCACTAGGACTCCTGTCTACGTGTAATATGTCTACATGTAACTTTCAAGTAAATAAGAAGGTCCTCTGAGAGGTGGTGTCCCCAACAGCTCAGAATTTAAAGGAAAAAAAATTATACTTGTGCAAGCAGGCGCTTTCACATTATATACTCCTGTATTTCAAATTACTTCTGATATTTTCTATATTGAAGTTGGTCAATTTAACATCTATTTTTGTAAATATAAGATTTTTCTCATTGTATACTTCAATATGTAAACATAAAGAAAAGGGCACAGGTTCCATATTGCATCATGAACACTGGGCTAAGGGGTATTGAGATGATATCTTTCTGAAAAATAATAATACAATGTTGTAGGTCGTATGCTTCTTCAATAAATAGAGACTTTTTCAGATTAACAATAGGCTAAACTACAGGAGATTTCAACCCAAGCCAATCAGAAAAAATGGGAAAAGAAAGACTGGCGTATCAACTTTTTTTTAATAAGGACCAGTAGGACGTATCGATGTTCTTAAGACCAGAGTACCAACTACAACAACCAAATATATCGAGCTACAGAAGAGAGGCCTAAAGGATGTCACTACGATTAAGTGGTTCATTTTCTCTTTAGAGAGTAACTTTTTCATTCAAATGTAACAGAGTGTAAAACTACCACATACAGCTAGAATCCCCCTTTCAACTAACTCCCTTCTCCATTGAAGGGGTCCTCTAACTACTTAAGCTTAGCCTCATCCAAGAAAATAACTCCTGTGGAAAAGCCTCAATTTCCTTCCCTTTTCTTGACCACAACCATTCTTGTGATGAGTTACGAAACAAACCCAGATAGCGGATAATGGATTTGTTATATGAGTTGACGCGTTGAGTAAGCACCACTATTCCCTCTAACTAGTTTGGCATCTACCTGTGGTTTCTCTTGTCTCATGGCTATTAATCATTTGCTTTTATCAGCCATTCCTGTATTATGAAAATAGACTAAAAGGCTGTTATAACTACTAGTCCTCTGATCATTTTTTTCCAACTACTATTCTTCTTTTCTTTGCATCATCAGACTCCAAAATGCTACAAAGCAGAGAAAAAGAGAAGGATTCCCCCCTTCACCAAAAAGATAAAAAGCTTACAATAAGGATATGAAATAGGTATGCCTTCTAATTCAACTTATTGTTCTCATTTTATATAACACTATCACTATTTAGAGAATCAACTAGTTTTTTGCTTGAAAAGAAAAACTAGTTTTTTGAAAGCTTTTAAACATTTCTAAAAACTACTCCTATTAATTACAAAAACAGTATCTTAAGGTACTTTTTATATGGTTTTCCACTATGTAAATTTTAGTTCTAAGAGAACAAAGAATCCATGTCCAAATTCACACTGAATCAATAAAATGTTTGACCCTTATGATCCAAATCCATCATTCTTTTGGGCAAGGGATCTCTACATTGCACAATTTACCCGTCAATCACAAGAAAGGTCTAAATAAAACCAATTGGGCACCTAATAATTACGCAAAATAAGAACCCCAGAATTGAAAAGACGAACCTAGCTTGGTGAAATCACCAGAGGCAATGGCATCAGTGTAATACTTATCGTTGTAGCGAACTGGGAAAATTGCAGTATTGATTTTCTTCAATTGCATCATATTCTTGTCCCTCACTCCATCCAATGAAATCGCCACTTCACGTCCTCCAACCCCCATTCTTTGTTAAACCTGCTCTGGATTTTGGTAGTTTGGAGTTAATTGGAGCTCCAAAGAGGAGCTTTAGGACTTAGCAGCACGTTATTATTAGAAGAAGAAAAGAATTAGGTGAAGAACAGAACAGTGTATTAGTCAAAATATTGGCTGCTACGTTTTCACAAATGGAAAAATGGAACCACACATACCCACCTTATTCCTGTGGGCTACAACTTGGATTTAGCCCATGGAATGAAATTGGATAGTCAATATATTTTGGGGGAAAAAACTTTTGTTGAATTTAACATGTTGTTATTATATGGAATACTCCAACTAATCCCACTAGATTAAATTATATATGGAAGAACTGAATTTTTTTTTGTTTTCTGTTCAAGAAATGAGAGGAAGGTGCGGATGTGAGGCTTAGAATAGTGGTTAGGTAGTCTAAATTGTTCATATTGGTATTATTAGTATGTACTCTCGCCTTATGTTGTTATTAGATTTCTATGACTACCTGTCATTTCTTGTATTTCGGTCATCTTACTTTGTTATTTATGCTACTTTTACATGACTCATAGGCGTTGTCCCTTCCTCGATCGGAGATCTATTGGAAACAGCGTATTTATCTCCACATGGTAGGGGTAAGGTCTGTGTATACACTACTCTCCACATACTCCACTATGTGAGATTACACCCACACACTACCCTCTTCATACCATACTTTGTGAGATTATACCGGGCATGTTGTTATCGCTTCTACATATATTGAAAGATGGAGTCCAAATTTTCATTTTCTTTCTTGAGATTTTTACATGCCTAATCCTTTATTTAATATTATTTTCATTAATGATAGTATTCTTCATTTATTTCATAAATGGCAATTTTTTTTTACAATTCTAGCATATTTTAAAAATTAACTGATTAAGGAGTTAGTTTTATTCTAATAATATTTATATCGTTTCTCTCTCATCATTATAGTAAAACTTTCCTTTTTTCACTCCTTTGTAACGGCAACCC